ACCACGAAGCTTTCGCGGGCCTTGTCTGTCATAGCATGGGTTTCCTGGGGTGCCGTGTGGCCTTCCGGGTGAGCGGTGATCACGAAGCCAGGGGGCAAGGCCTCGCCCGGTGCGAACCACTTTCCCTGGGAGTGATCCAAGCCGCTCATAGCAGGCATGTACGTTGCTGCCGGCATGCTTGGATACGTGTAGCCTCCCGACATGGTGTAGGGCGACGCTGTGTAGGTCACAGGCACGCCGGCATCTTGCTGGATCGTGTACGCCGGCATTGCATCGGCCGGCATGGTCGTGTACACGGGCGCCGCTGCTGCAGGATCGGTCGTGTAGGCCGGCATGGTCGTGTACATGGGCTCAGCCGGGACTGATGCCATACACGGATTCGCCATGTGCTGCGCGAACCTGAAACTGAAATGCGTACACTTGCTACCAATGCTGCGGACCAGCGGCTTCGGGATCATCTTTTTGGTCGCTGCGATCTTGATCAACACATCGGGCTTTGCTTACACAGCAGTCTGATGCGTCGCTTGTCAACGACACAGCATGGATCACTTGCAGCAGTTGTGTTACACTCTCTGAAGCTTTGGATATTGTGCTTAGGACGACAACGGTGAGCACTTCTTTTCTGCACGGATGCAAGCAATGTCGTATTGAGTTAGGAAATCATGGTGCGTTGGCAAAGCAGGTGTGGCCCTGTAATGGTCCTTGACAACCCACGACCCAACTCTTTGACTGGCACCTCTGTCGGCCAAAAGAGATGAGTCCGAATTTGCCATCACCTGAGAACTCGTCTTCATGAACTCCTCAAGCTTAGCAGCAGCCGCTGGACTTCTTCTTCTTCTTGTCCTTCTTGCTCTTCTTCACTGGGGCAGCCGCCTTGGGAAGGGAGGAGCCGGTGACCACGAAGCTTTCGCGGGCCTTGTCCGTCATAGCATGGGTTTCCTGGGGTGCCGTGTGGCCTTCCGGGTGAGTGGTGATCACGAAGCCAGGGGGCAGGGCCTCGCCGGGTGCGAACCACTTTCCCTGGGAGTGATCCAAGCCGCTTGTAGCAGGCATGTACGTTGCTGCCGGCATGCTTGGATACGTGTAGCCTCCCGACATGGTGTAGGGCGACGATGTGTAGGTCATAGGCACGCCCGCGTCCTGCCGCGAGGGTTACCTACTTGGAGGTTCATGCGCGGATATAACTGTGGTTAAAAGTCCCCAAATATGACTTATAAGTATAGTTACCCTACTCATAACCCATTTATAACTACCCATGAACCTGCAAGGAAACCCTAAACCCTACACCCCTAAACCCCTAAACCCTAAAGAACTCTTAAAGGAACCCTATAACCCGCTCATTTATAACTAATTACCCATGAACCTCCACAGCATCGGAGCTGCCTCATCGCTGGACCCTTGACCCTGACCCTCATCAAGAGCCCTAGACCCTAAACCCTAAACTCTAAACCCTGAACCCTAAGAGCCCTAAACCCTAAACCCTAAGCTCTAGACCCTAGAGCCCTAAACCCTAAACCCTAAACTCTAAACCCTAAGAGCCCTAAACCCTAAACCCCAAAGAGCCCGAAGAGCTCTAAGAGCCCTAAGAGGTCACATGTACATAAGTGATCGCAGGGGTTTTCGGTAGCCAGGTTTACGTGGAATGGGCTCGTAACCCACGCCTGCCAGCAAAGTCAAGAAAGTGCAGACATGCTTGTGAAAATGACTTTCAGGAACCATGTAGCCTTGAAGCTTAGGGCATCGCACGTTTTCTCTACGAATGTGATTCTCAGAGGCCTGTCTGCGCTATCTTGACTTTTGCTGGCAGCATGGGTTCAAAGCCCATTTTTTTCCTTCTTTATAATCCTGGCTTCCCAAACCCGAGCACTGTCTTGACTTTTGCTGGCACGCGTGGCTTCAAGGCCTACTTTTCGGACAAGGTTGGCGGCGCCAGAACGAAATCAGCCTTCCCCCCCCCCCCACCCCCACTCCCCACCCCCCTTCCCCCAGTAAAGTAAGGTAAAGTTCGATCCTGGCGGCGCCTAGAATCCACAGCGAAAGCCTCCAAACCGCAAAACCTGCACAAAAACGCGCGGCCAATTACGGACTGTGCGGCCCTAAGAGCCCTAAACCCTAAACTCTAAACCCTAATTAAACCCTAAACCCTAAGAGCCCTAAACCCTAATTAAACCCTAAACCCTGAGAGCCCTAAACCCTAAACCCCGAACCAAAATTAAACCCTAAACCCCAAGAGCCCTAAACCCTAAACCCCAAAGAGCCCCAAGAGCCCTAAGAGCCCTAAGAGCCCTAAGAGCCCCAAGAGCCCCTGACTGACATCCTCAAGGCCCCAAAAGAAACCTCCTGCCTGCGTGATGTACTGGATGGGCTGGCCGGATGCGTCGACATAGGTGACCCTGGGGCTCTAAGGCCCTAAACTTTCCTTTAGGGGTTTAGGGTTTCGGGGTTTAGGGTTTAGGGGTTTAGGGTTTCACTGGGCTGGGTACTTTAGTTTAGGGGTTTAGGGTTTAGGGGTTTAGGGTTTAGGGTTTCGCTGGGTTCTTGCTAGGGGATTTTAATAAAGTTACCATGATTGGACCATAATAAGGAAACCATATTTATTTACTATAGATCCCTATTA